ATGTCTGCAAGTCTGTTTCTGTTTTATAGATTAGTTCATAGTGTCTTTTTTTTCCTTGTCCTTTAGAGTCCACATATGAGCAATATAATACAGTATTTTTCTTACTCATTCTGGCTTACTTCACTTAGAATGACGATCTCCATCCATGTTGCTGCAAATGGCATTATTTTATTCGTTTTTATGGTCGTGTAATATTCCACTGTATAAGTATATCACAACTTCTTTATCCAGTCATCTGTTGATAGACATTTAGGTTGCTTCCATGTCTTGGCTATTGTATATTGCTGGTGTTAACATTGGGGTGCATGTATCTTTTTGAATTTGAGTTCCCTCTGGATATATGCCCAGGAGTGGGATTGCTAGATCATATGGTAAGTCTGTTTTTAGTTTTTTGAGGAATCTCCATATTTTCCATAGTGGCTGCACCAAACTGCATCCCCACCAACAGTGTAGGAGAATTCCCTTTTCTCCATACCCTTTCTAGCATTTATCATTTGTGGACTTTTGAATGATTGCCATTCTGACTGGTGTAAGGTGATACCTCGTTGTAATTTTGATTTGTATTTCTCTGATAATTAGCAATATTAAGCATTTTTTCATATGCCTGTTGGCCATTTGTACATCTTCACTGGAGAATTGCTTTAGGTCTTCTGCCTATTTTTGGATTGGGTTGTTGTTATTAAGTTGTATGAGTTGTTTATATGGTCTGGAAATTAAACCTTTGTCAGTCACATCATTTGCAAATATATTCTCCCATTCAGCTGGTGGTTGTTTTGTTTTGCTTATGGTTTCCTTTGCTGTGCCAAAGCTTATAAATTTAATTAGGTCCCATTTGTTTATTTTTGCTTTTATTTCTATTGCCTGGGTAGAATGCCCTAGGAGAACATTGCTAAGATTTCTGTCAGAGAATGTTTTGCCTATGTTTTCTTCTGGGAGATTTATAGTATCTTGTCTTATGTTTAAGTCTTTAAGCTATTTTGAGTTTATTTTTGTGTGTGGTGTGAAGGAGTGTTCTAACTCCATCAGTTTACATGCTGCTGTCCAACTTTCCCAACACCACCTGCTGAAGAGACTGTCTTTTCTCCATTGTATATTTTTGCTTCCTTTGTTGAAGATTAATTGACCATAGGTCTGTGGGTTTATTTCTGGGCTGTCTGTTCTGTTCCATTGACCCATATGTCTGTTTTTGTACTAATACCATGCTCTTTTGATTACTGTAGCTCTGTAGTATTGTCTGAAGTTTGGAAGGGTTATTCCTCCAGCTTCGTTCTTTTTCTTCAGTATTGCTTTGGCAATTCTGAGTCTTTTGTGATTCCATATAAATTTTAGGATTATTTCTTCTGTTTCTGAGAAAAATGTCATGAGTAGTTTGATAGGGATTGCATTAAATATGCAGATGGCCTTAGGCAGTATGGCCATTTTAACAATATTGATTCTTCCAATCCAAGAGCATTGGATATCTTTCCATTTCTTTAAGTTCTCCTTTATTTCCTTAGTCAGTATTTCATATTTCTCCATGTGTAAGTCTTTCACCTCCTTGGTCAGATTTATTCCTTGGTTAAACTTATTACTAAGTATTTTATTGTTTTGGATGAGATTTTAAAAGGGATATTGTTTCTTTACTCTCTTTTTCTGCTATTTCATTGTTAGTATAAAGAAATGCAACTGACTTCTGTTTGTTAATCTTGTATCCTGCTACCTTGCCGAATTCTTTTATCATTTGCTGTGGCTAGGACTGCCAATACTATGTTGAATAGAAGTGGTGAGAGTGGGCATCCTTAACTTTTTCCAGATTTTAGTGGGTAGACTTTCAGCTTTTCACTGTTGAATAGTATGTTGGCTGTGGGTTTGTCATAAATAGCTTCGATTATGTTGAGATATGTTCCCTCTATACCCACTTTGGTAGTTCCCTCTATACCCACTTTGGTAAGAGTTTTTATCATACATGGATGTAAATTTTATCAGATGCTTTTTCTGCATCTATTGAGATGATCATGTGATTTTTGTCCTTTGTCTTGTTGATGTGGTGTATCACATTGATTGATTTGCATATGTTAAACCATCCTCGTGTCCCTGGGATGAATCCAACTTAATCATGGTGTATAATCTTTTTTATGTGTTGTTGGATTCTGTTTGCTAATATTTTGTTGATGATTTTTGCATCTGTGTTCGTCAATGATATTTGGCCTGTAATTTTCTTTTTCGGTAGTGTCTTTGTCTTGTTTTGGTATCAGGGTAATAGTAGCTTCATAGAATAAGCTTGGGAGTGTTCCCTCCTCTTCAGTGTTTTGGAAGAGTTTGAGAAGGATTGGTATGAGCTCGTCTTTGTATGTTTGGTAGAATTCCCCAGTGAAACCGTCCAGTCCTGGATTTTCCTTTGTAGGGAGGTTTTTATTGCTGATTGTATTTCATTTCTAGTGATCAGTCTGTTCAAGTTAACCACTCTATGTTAAATATTATGCCCCTTCCCTATTGTTCTGTCCTCTTACCCTTTTTCTTCATAGTCCTTATCACTACCAGATCTCACCTGTGAGTATGCATGTATGTGTGTGTTTATCATCTGTCTCTTCCTCTAGAGTGCAAGCTTTATGAGAGGAGAACTGTGGTTAACTATCGTGTGTCCGTCATGTAGAGTAGTACCAGGCATGTAGTAAGTGCTGGATAAATGTGTTGAATAGGTAAAACCTTTAGGTTTTTTGCCCATAAACCATATAGTATTACACCCAATTTCAGATATGGAAACTGAGTCTACAAAGCTGGCAGGTTTTCTGACTCCAGGTCTGTTTCTTTTGGTACCTCAGTCACTTGTTTCTAGAACCTTACCTGGTCATTTATTTGTCCTCATCTGAATCACTGTGACAGTTTGTGTTCCTCTGACGCAGCTGCTGCATTTGTCTTGCACTGTGGTTTCTGACGCACACCTCTCTCTCACACTCTCCCAGTGCCTTATGATTGCTTCAGAAATTATGGGAGAATCCCAGATTATTCTTGGATTTCATAGTATTTGAGTTTTAAACTTGATTTTCTTTAAGCTACTCAGCCTTTTCTTTTAAAACTAATGTAAACTTCAGGGGTTGATATGTTTCATAATTCTTTTTTCACTAGCAACATGTAAACTTAAATTTTTTTGGTAATAATAAATATACTTAAGGAGCTTGCATCTTGAAAATACTCAGTATTTGTATTTTGTCTGCATTTTGTAAAAAAAATTCTTGAGTAAGATTGAAAACAGAAGTGTTTTCAAGTTTTTGATAAGGTTTCCCCTTTCCTTAGTGGATTTACTCATTTAGGAAGACTTTATTTCGTACTTTACTATTCTTCTGTCTATCCTTTTTCTTTTTTGCTTTTCCCGAGAAGTGGAGCAGTATTGATTCGGGGGTAGGGAGGCATCATGTGGTAAAGGGAGGTTTTCAGTTTTCTTTGAAGTAGGTTACAGAGTCATCAGCAAGAAAGAGAAGGGCAATTCCATATTGTGAGAAGAGGCTGAAATGAGGCAGCAAGAACTGTGGCCTTGATGGCTAATGAGAGTGTCTGCCTTTTCTGTGTGAACAGTGAGAGAAATCAGGCTGCTCTCAGTGTCGCTACCACCCACAAAGCTGTGAAGAAGGCTGGTGAGAGCAGATGGTATCCAGACAGTTTGATTTGTTTAGAAACCTGCATAAAGAGCAGCATGTGTTTTGTTTTGTTTTCCCCTTAATTACTCAGAGCCAGGGAGATCAGTTTTCAAATAAAACATAGTGATACAGCCAGGAGAAAAAATTATTAAAGCAGAAAACAGACAACTGTATCTTTATCTGCATCATTTCAATTGCACGATATTTACTGAGTATCTGTTTTGTGTAATGCTCTGTACTAGGCATTGTAGGGGATGCAAAGAAGAGTGAGTTAAGTATTACAAAATAAATTAATTTTAGTAAACATCTCATTGGTGCCTTTTATATGCTGCTGAAGTGCCAGAACGTAGAAATGAAAGTAGTTCCTGTCCCCCAGGAGCTGACAGTACAGTGAGGGAAATGCAGTCAGTGGATAGTTTCAGTCCCACACAAGCAGGCGCTGTGATATATGTATATCAAGGTGCTAGGGAAGCTTTGAAGGAAGGACACTTAATCCAATCTGGGAGGATAGTGAGGAAGATAGGGAAGGCTTCTGGCAGGAGGTAAAACCAGAGTTAGTCCTAGCTGAGTCTTAAAGGATGGATAGGTGCAAGCCAGGGAAAAATGAGGGGTAGGGAGAGGTCAGGGCAGAAGGATGAGCATGAGCAAAGGGGCAGAGGCCAGAAGCATAATGGCTGTCTGGGAGAGATCCAACCAAACACTGCTCACGTAGCCACAGGTAACATTTGTGGCAGGAGTTGAGATTATGGTGCCAGCTTGTGATGGAGTTTGGAGGTTTTCCTGTACATGTTTCTTCCTGTGTGGCCTGTAGACTCTCTGCAGCAGCATCTCTTAGGATATTTGCAGAAATGCAGGTCTAAACCCACCCCAGAATGGGGAAAATACCCATAAAATCTGTTGTTTTTCCCCAGAATTGGGATTTTCCTATATGGCTAATGTAGAATGCATTAATAAATATTTAACAGATTTTTTTTAAATGATAGATTTTGTCAGGTTTACACACAGTATTTGTGGGAGAATTATGTCTCACATTGGTGTTTTGGGAGGTTCCCAAGAGAAGAACTATAGTTATAAAGAATTGTTTATGAAATAAATATAGAAAACATGTATTACTGTATCTTGGGATGGATAGAAATTTTCAAACAAAAAGTAATTTGAAAGTCTAATTTGTGACTACATCTTTAAGGCTATATTTTTCTATAGCCAATTCAGAGTGAGAATTCCCTGAGATCTGTGTCACTCAGTGCTCAGCCTCTGGCCGTGTGTGTGTGTATGTAAAATTTGGCAGAAAGCAAGGAATATAGAAATGGAAAATGTTGCAAAATAGTAGTAAAGGGGTCTTAGGATCTGTTTATAAATGTTCTGTGTATCTCTTTTACTGTACAGGAATTAGAAAATAAAAGAAGACTGCAAAAACAGGCTACCACTAGTCAAAGCGCCATGGAAGTTCGCTTGAATCGAGCTCTGGAAGAAGCAGAAAAGTATAAACTGGAGTTAAGTAAATTAAGGCAAAATAACAAGGTATGGAAAAATTGAAGTTTTGGTAGTGATCACCTTTGGTAACTTTCTCTTTTATGTAAGACTCAAAAGTAAAAGTTTTAAAATGACACTTCTTGATGTTATGGTGACCATTTCTCTTTTCAGGTGAAATACACTCATTAGCATTATGTACATTTTCAGTAAATTAGGATTATATTGCTTGTACTTTTGCCATGATTGGGTGATGGCACAGCTTTTTAGAGGATTCATTTATTTTTTTATCCAACAAATCTTTATTGTATGCCCATGTTATGGCACACAATAATCTCTGGGGTATGTGGTGGAAAAAAGTCTCATGTATCTCAAGTCTGTAACACCTTTTTCAGAGCCTCAGTTTTCTAATACATAATGCAAGGGACTATCTTACAGGGCAGTGGGTCTCAAACTTGAGCATTTATCAGAATCACTGGAGGGCTTATTAAAACAGATTCCTGGGCCCCACCCCCAGACTTTCTGATTCAGTAGATTTGGGGTGAGACCTGAGAATGTGTGGTTTTAACAGGTTCTGAGGTGATGCTGATGCTGCTGATTCTGAGATAACCACCACTGTTACAGAGTTACTTTGAGGATCACTATCATATCCCTAGCATCTAGCCAGTGATTGGTATAGAATTAACACTCAGTTCCTGAAATATCTTTTGAATAAAGGAAGGCTCAGATACCAATGTGTGTGAAAGCCTTTTGTACACTCTGTAAATATTGGCTGTTAGTTTTTGGTTTGTGTCAACCTGAAAGTGATGCCCCATTGGAATCTCTCCCTTAGGGCAATACTTAATTATTTAACAACGCTGTGGATGATGAATTTAAGAGCCCCCTCATTACATACAGAGATGGTATTAATTTAGACTAAATTAGTTAACACTTAATTTGGACATAGAACTAAACTGCTCTTGGTTAAGTCCTCCAACATTTTTAACAAATGCAACTATATTACAGTGACCATAGAGTTTTAATATATCTTCTTGTCAGATGATTTTGCTAGCTGTATGATTAGACTGTGTTCACATTTAAGAGCTATCAGTACAAGAGTCAAACTTGCTAATAATTATGTTATTGGAGTATTATTTCCAATTTGGTGCATTCTAAAGGGATTTTGAAGAAACTAAAATGGAATGATCATGTATATGTCAGGATTTTCTCATTCTGGTTTCAGATTTGATGTCTTATTTTAGCACATACATTAGAGAAGTAGAAAGAAAAAACATGTTTCCATGACAACAGATGACTCCTATTCTAGCCAGCCATTTTGCAAATTCAAGTAATGAGGACTTGTGTGAACAACTCAGTTCAAAACCATCAGTGCTATAAAAACAACTTAGATACGTAAAGACAGACTTCTGACCCCAGGTCTGCATTTATGGTGATTGATTTAAACGCAGTGGTATAACAGTTTATGTATATATTACTTGCTATTTACTGTCAGGTAGACATTTTGAGATCAGAGTTCTTAAATGTAACTTCATATTTCTGAAAAAATATGTGTATGTCTTAAGTTTTTGAGTTTTTAATCATTTTGCCTTGTCTCTAACTTTGAGGGATGTTCTCAAGATAGGCAATAAGATTTTCCTCAGAGTCTAATCTGTATATAAGTTTTTCCTTTGTGAGCAGTTACATATTTTTTTTCTATTTTAATTCTTTGTACCTTGCTTCCCATTCTGATTAGACATACTATTAAAGTTAGATAGGCAGGTAAAATTATTCAGGTTTATATGTTTAAAAAATAGTAAGGTTTCCATAAAATAGAACAAGATTGCCTCACAGTCATCAAAGTTAAAGATTTATTTAAAAAAAATAATGATAAACTTATTCTGCACAGAGCTTAGGAAACAGGTAAACTGGCTTGAGAGTAAGAGTAACTTTTTAAAATTGAAGTATAGTTGAGATTTATATAGTAGTTGTGTTAGTTTCTGGTGTACAACAGTGATTCAGTTATGTACATATATATTTATAGTCTTTTTTCACTATAGGTTATTACAAGCTATTGAATACAGTTCCCAGTGCTATCCAGTAGGACCTTGTTGTTTATCTATTTTGTATATAGTAGTTAGTATCTGCTAATACCAAACTCCTAATTTATCCCTCCCCCCTACTTTCCCCTTTGATAACCATAAATTTGTTTCTATGTCTGTGAGTCTGTTTCTGGTTTGTAAGTTCATTTGTGTCATTTTTTTTTTTTAGATTCCACATATAAGTGATATCATATATTTGTCTTTCTGTCTCTGACTGACTTCATTTAGTATGATCATGTATAGGTCCATCCATGTGCTGCAAATGGCATTACTTCATCCTTTTCTATGGCTGAGTAGTATTCCATCGTTTCTATGTATGTGCGCGCACACACACACCCACCCACCCACCTTCTTTATCCAATGGACATTTTGGTTGCTTCCGTGTCTCAGTTCTTGTAAATAGTGCTGCTGTGAACACTGAAGTGCATGTGTCTTTTTGAATGAGAGTTTTCTCTGGATATATGCCAAGGAGTAGGACTGCTGGATCATATGGTAACTGTATTTTTATTTTTTAAGAAATGTCCACACTGTTTTCCATAGTGGCTGCACCAGATTACATTCCCACCAACAGTGGAAGATTCCCCTTTCTCCACACCCTCTCCAGCATTTATTATTTGTGGACTTTTTACTGATAGCCATTCTGATTGGTGTGAGGTGATACCTCATTGTAGTTTTTACATTTCTCTGATAATTAGTGATATGGAGCATCTTTTCATGTGCCTTTTGACCACCTGTATATCTTCACTGGTGAAATGTCTGTTTAGGTCTTCTGCCCATTTTTTGACTGGATTGTTTGGTTTTTTGTTATTGAATTGTATGTTTGTATATTCTGAAAGTCAAGCTCTTACCAGTTACATCATTTGCACATATTTTCTCCCAGTCTGTAGGTGGTCTTTTCATTTTGTTTATGATTTCCTTTGCTATGCAAAAGCTTGTAAGTTTAATTAGGTGCTATTTGTATAATTTTGCTTTTATTTCTGTTGCCTTGGTAGACTGACCTAAGAAAACATTGCTGCAATTTATGTCAGAGAATGTTTTGCCTATGTTCTCTTCTAGGAGATTTATGATGTCTTATGTTTAAATCTTTAAGACATTTTGAGTTTATTTTTGTGTATGGTGTGAGAGAGTGTTCTAACTTCATTGATTTACAAGTAAGAGTAGCTTTTGAAATACAAAGTCAGTCAACTTAAACCAGATGCTGCATGAGTGGAGGAACCCTGTCTCATTCACTGCTATGCCTCAGTGCCTGGAACATAATAACTGAAGGGAGGAACGATGAAGACAACCATGTGATGGTTTTCCTGGGCATTTGATTAGATGGCTGCTTGAAGTCCATTTAAAATATGTCACCAAGTACATGTTATTTCATTTAGAAACATAATTTCTAATTCTTCATTAATTTATGTAGAAGTATTTATGAGGGCCTGCCGGGTACCTGTGAGATGTTTCTTAGAGGCTGGAGATATAAAGGGGATAAAAAAACAAATGTGATCCTAGTAGTCATATGCCTTATAGTGGAGAAATTGGATCTTACTTAGACAATACATCAAGCAAAGCTAAGCTGCAGTTGTGATAAATGCCATGAAGGAAGGGACATGGTGCCTTGAGCAGGTGACCAGGTCAGTGAGTCCATTTTTTAAAATTCTAAGCTAAGATTTGAAGAACATATAGGAGTCATGTACCAGGGGAGAGATTATGAACAGAAGAAATGGTATATAAAAAATGGTTCTGTGGCAGGAAAGAAGACATGGTAATGAAAGGCAGGGATGGGTGTGAAGGTTGTGTTGCAAAGTGAGGCTTCAAACATAGGTAGAGGGCAAACCATCTGGGTCCTTTAGGCCATGTTAAGTGTTACGGATTTTATCTAAAGAGCAGTGCAAAGCCACTGCATGGTTATTTTGAAAAAAGATGACAGGAGACATGGCATTATCAGATACACATCTGGAAAGTACAGTGGTCTTTTGGTGTCCGTGGGTGCTGAAGTCTCTCATATAAAATGATGTAGTGTTTGCATGTAATATACCCACATCCTCCCGTACTTTAAATCATCTCTAGATAACGTGTATTACCTAATACAGTGTAAATGCTATGTAAATAGTTGCTGACACATGGCAATTTCAAGTTTTGCCTTTTGGAGCTTTCTGGAATGTTTTTCCCCAGAATAGTTTCCATCTACAGTAGATTGAACCCATGGGTTCGGAACCTGGGTATACGGAGGGCCAGTTGTGTTCCTTTCTTTGTGGAGAATCAATTGGAAGGGGGCCAGAATGGACACAGATAGACTGCTTAAGTGTAGCAATGTATTATGACTCACTATATTGTACATCTGTAACTTACATAATATTATACAGCAACTATACTTCAATTAAAAAAAAAGAGTAGCAATGTAAGTGAGAGCTAATTCTGTAGCTTTGACTAAACTGATAGTTTAGAAATGGAAAGAAACCCAAAAGCAAAAAATACTTCTAGGAGAGAAAATCACTAGGACGTAATGATGGACTGGATAGAGGATCGTGAGGAAGGGAAGCTTAAGGAAGATATTTTGACTTCTAGTCTTTAGAACTAGACAGTGCCATTCACTGAAATAAGAAACAATAGAATAGGTTTGGGGAAGAAGATTGAGTTGTTCTGGAGCAGGTTAAGTTTGAAGATATTCAGAGAAATCGCTGGGGAGATGTCAGGGTCTAGGGGAGAGGTCTGCAGAGACAGAGCAGAAGCCATTAGTGTTCACTGGGAAGATAGCATAGAGTGAGAGGGGAAAGAAGCAAGGGTGTAGAGCTGAGCCCAGAAGAATTCCAGTATTTCAGGAGTGATCAACAGTGTTGAGAGGTCAAGTTCTTGGGGAGCTGAGAAAACTTTGCTAGATATAACAACACAGAAGTGACCTTGGACAGATATGTTTCGGTAGAATTATAGGGAAGAAGCTAAATTCAAGGGGGATGAAAAAGCAAATGCAGGTGAGAGAATGGAGAC